CAGTCACAAGAACGTCGAATCTGAATCACTTGAAAAAAACACGGGGGTGCTTAACTTTTTTCCAGGTGTATATATACCAGACTACACCCAATCTAGTAAATGCTAGGGCATTCACGAAGGAACAGGATATTTCTAGAAAACGTGGTGTGACACTAGTCACGTGACCTCGCTGACACAACATTATATTCCTTCTAAGAACTTTAATCAACTGAATTCAATATAAAGAAATTTACAAAGTTACACTCTACAGTATTGAATCAGTCATATCTCAATAACAGTGTGACTGCCATATTGGATGGATATCAAAATGAACAAATAATAGCCCATATTATTACAAAATCACAGTTTTAGCCCATCAATGACTTGTTTACTGTAAACTGCCTACAAATTATGTGCAAATCGACTTTTGAGTTCAAATGGGATTTGTCACTGCCCACTTTATGTACTGGAAAGGCTAATGAAGACTGAGAAGCACCTGAAAAAAATGAGATGAATGGATGCAACTACATGCTCAACCTGGGAAATGACCATAAATCTATACTAATCTTGAAATTATTTATTTGTTTATTGATGTATCATTATAACATCATAAATCATTAAACAAGTACCAACAATTCTTGGTTGTCTTTTGCACTATTAGAAATAACATACATACATGGAAACAACAATGAATCATTTCTTATACCAATATATGTATATTGTGATAATAAAATGAGATATATCAGATGACAAAGCTAACAGAAGATGTAATTAGATGTCATGATCAGTGAAATCATTAGGTGTATGATTCTCCATGTATGCACAATCTCTATTCTCTCAATGTGTATTGCATAAACAGAGGTCTGTACATGCCAAATCTTTAGATTTGCAAGAACATCTCTGTGATGAGAATTGCCCTTGCATTGGCACCTAACCATCTCAATGATAGCACTGGGAGCTGATAGTATACCTGTTCTTTTAGGCTTGAATTGACCCTCTGTATTTTTGTACAAGCTATATTCAATAGGATTTAGCAACCATTGCTGAGGTACACTTGCCTGACTCCATACCTTGGCCTGGACATGAGCTCTTTTGATGTGCACCATGAGTACTCCCATAGTAGGTGGTAATCTGTCACTCTGTGCCATATGCTTACAGAAGAGATTCCATGGTAATTCAGGGATGCTCCTGATATTGATTCCTTTAGGGCAATATTTTGCACATACAAATTAATGTAGAGTAGATATTAAACTCTCTGTAACCTCAGAAGATCCACCAAGCATGCTTATGGCATGAATTATGTTATCATTTGATTTGGAGTATATTTTGAACTGGGTGGCTTTGCATATTTGAGAAAACTGGAAATTGTTATCAGTTTCCATAAATGCATGAAATGAAGGTAATGCCTTTGCCTTGGTGGTCCCAAGAGGTGTCCAAATCTTTATTATCTCAATAACACCTTATGAAATAAAGAAGGATGTCTAAGGGAGCAAAAGATCACAGTTGGCTACTGTGAGTATGAGAAGATGCGTCTGGAGAGAAGATGATCAATCATTACCATTTCAACATGATGCAGACACTGCTAGACATATCATCAAAGTATCAGCTTCTTCGTGATTATTATTATCGTCAAAATGAAGATCCTTGTTGGACTTTGTATGACCATAGGCTGAGATGATGAACAACTTAGTGGAGTTTTTGTTGTAGGTGATAGTCCTCTGCATAAGGTAATCTGTCAAATCACTCTTTGTTTGATTGTGAGACAGAAGCTGATGTGTTTGATGTTTAACACTTTGTGTTGTATAGGCACTGTCCAGTGGCATCTCTCTCATCATGCTTTTCAACAAATTTGGATTTGGCTTGTAGGTGTAAAAAATCAAGAAAGATCTTATTATAGCTTCTAGTTAGACAAGGAGTTTATCATTGAAGCATA